GCGACGAAATTACAAAAACAAAACAAACTAGAAAATGATATGACTGTACTTTATTTATTCCTTTTCCTCTGTCGGAGAGAATAATTTCTCAAAAGCTTATATCAAAATCTATTACCGTACTTCATCAAACAACAAACAAACACGAAAGTCTTAGCACGTTACAACACACAGTTAAATAAAACAAATGGGTTGTATCTAATTTTGCCTTCTTTCTGAGAGAATGATTGAACTCTTTGTGACGTAAGTGTAATTCTTTTTCTTTTCAAATCGAAAATCCAAGGTCTTTTAACATAAAAATGTTGACTACCTTCATTTTTTATCTGAACATTTAACATGACCATGTGGCCCATAAGATTTAATCAATTCTTTAAAAACCCAAAGGATGTGTTAGGGAAAAAAGTTTGGACTAACATAAATTTTCTTTTTTTTTCTTCCGGTAGATAAATGAACTTTACAATGGCGCATATGAAAAACATTTTTTTTTTAAATTCTCATTACATTTAAGTAAAACGATAACATCATATTTGGTGTAAAATACTTTATTTCACATAATTGAGGTCAGTTTTTAATTTATTCATATAATGATTAATGAACAATGTTTCAACATATTCAAATAAACAACAAAGCAGTCCTATTGACATCATATTCACAATTAGTGAATGACATGGATAGGTTTTGGAACAAGGTATGATTATGTATTTTACTGAGATAATAACTTTTATAAGAAAGGTATGCAACTGAATATTAATCGCCAGCAAAGTATTAATATATGCACATAATAATTTATTTTTCTGTATGCATTTGTTTTAAATTGAAAACCTGTACAACGCATGTAGGCCTACATTTATCAGCATATTATTAATACTAGTGCTTATTTCTGTTTTAACGTTGTAATTGTATGTCAATATGCCCATTTATGATTTATACATAACAGATACCAGAAATTAACTAATTTTGGAAAGACATTGTTAATTAGAAAGTTTTTTGGTAAAATAAATAAAAACGTTTAGGGAAATATATCACTAAATTAAAAAAATAATGGAGCACCAACATGATTACTTTATTAAAAAATTTAGAACAACATGTGGTTGGTCAGCCTAAATAAAGTAAATTTTTCGTGTGCTGGTTAATTAAAGAGTATTTCTACTTGGCAGGAAAGACATTGGTCTTTGGTGCTGTTGGAATTGGTTTTCAACCTGTAAATAGATAAATAATAATAAAAATTAAATGGAAAACTAAACAAAATACTTATTTAAATAAAGCTTACTGAACTTACATATTACAAAGAGCATCATGAAAATTAATTTTTGTAAGATTTACACTTGTGTGATATAAGACAATTTAAGTTTAATCTTATCTCTTCTGATCCAGTTGTTTTGTTCAAAAGGTGGTTTGCAAGGTTATTAATATTACTAAGCAATTCACTAAACTTTCTTTATTTTATAGTCATTGTATTTATTTAAATTTATCATTTAACACACATAACTGATCAATTTAGCCAATTAACATAAAAAGTGACTTTAAAGATTAAGATTTCCACATTATCCATTCAAAGCAATCTTCCTATCACCTAGAAGTTTTTTTTTACTTTATAACTAATTAATCTTAATTGGTTACTATTTTCCTGTTACCTTGAGTCAAATACCATAGACTGAACCTTCATTTGTGACATTCCAAAGATATTTACTAAATATAATCCCTAGTGATATTTTACAATCACTAAATATAATCACTTGTGATATATAATGACTCAGTTACTACTAATTATAATCACTTGTGATATATAATGACTCAGTTACTACTAATTATAATCACTTCTGACATTTGACACAATTACTAAATATAATAACTTGTGACATTTGATATGGTTACACTAAATATATAATCACTCGTGACATTTGATATGGTTACACTAAATATAATAACTTGTGACATTTGATATGGTTACACTAAATATGTAATCACTTGTGACATTTGATATGGTTACACTAAATATATAATAACTTGTGACATTTGATATGGTTACACTAAATATATAATCACTTGTGACATTTGATATGGTTACACTAAATATATAATAACTTGTGACATTTGATTTGGTTACACTAAATATATAATCACTTGTGACATTTGATATGGTTACACTAAATATAATCACTCGTGACATTTGATATGGTTACACTAAATATAATCACTTGTGACATTTGATATGGTTACACTAAATATAATCACTTGTGACATTTGATACAGTTACACTAAATATAATTACTTGTGACATTTGATATGGTTACACTAAATATAATCACTTGTGACATTTGATACGGTTACACTAAATATAATTACTTGTGATGTTTGACACATTTACTAATATAGAGTTTTGTCATGCATTACCCATTGCTGGCACTCTGATTTTAATATTTTTTTTCTGTGTATTTTTTAATCATCTACACAATAGCCTTGTAATTAGGGATACCAGATACTAAGGTTTTTATAGAAATTTAGGTTATTTTACAAGCTAGTATCATAGTCACTAAGTCTGACCAATATTTCTAGTCTGTTATTATTTAGAAACTATGTATTTTTTAGTTTTGAATAAAAAAATCATAAAATTAACTCACAGTAGGTGTCAACTGTTTTTCTTTCTTTGTTTTCCTTTGATACTCATCATCACAATATTCATTTTCATGAAGACTAAACTCAGCCATTGGAGGAGAACCTTGGGTTAAGCTGGTCTTTAGTTAAGGAAAAGATTTCAGAAAAGTTAGCGGATCAACAAAATTCAATAGTAAAATTGTCTAACTTGTGATATTGGTATTACAATTCAATTCGATAAGCAAGATATCTCCTACAGAATTTTGTGCCCTTCTGTTGGTTAAACAGTGATGCCTGACTCCTTCCTTAACCAAAGTGCAGTACAGGACCCACAGTGTTACTGTGTCCTGGTCAACAGGAAGTACAGACATAGGTCTACAAAGTAGGCCTTCCTTTGCTCTGCTACAGACTACAATGTTAAGGTAGTATATACCTTTTACATAGTGTTATACAACCATGTCAAAGTAGTATATACCCCTTTTACATAGCATTATACAACCATGTTAAAGTAGTATATACCCTTTACATAGCATTATACAACCATGTTAAAGTAGTATATACCCTTTACATAGTGTTATACAACCATGTTAAGGTAGCATATATATACCCTTTACATAGTGTTATCTAGGTTTTGACCTTTCTATCAGGAAAAACAACAATATTTTCATACTATGGTTTTTTGTATGAAAATGTGATGAAACTAGTACAAAGACATGTTTTGGCACATGTTATGTAATATTACCACTGTGGCTAATTTCCATATTATAAAAATATAGAAATACAAAAAAATGTCTTATGTTCCTGATAACTTTGACAAACATGACTGAATGCTGACTGAAAATGGGTCCAGACTATGATGGGATGTGAAGAACTAGTCTGAACTAATGAAAAACTTTGAAAATTAATTCAAAATAAATTGTGATATTTTTTGACATTTAAAGGGTATATGTTACTTTAACTAAGTTTTATAAAGGTTAATGATTAAACTCTACAGGTGTAAAAGTAACCAACAGTAGAGTGCCTGACCCTCCAACCCTCACCCCGTCACCGTTAGCTGTTTATATTTTGGTTTTAGTGTTTTTGTGTTATTTTGTGGGCATGTTTTCTTTGCAAAGAAACAAATTTAAATTTTTCTGAAATAATGATCTCAGCCTCTGACCTTCTTACCCCAGAATAAATAGGGTTCTTCCCTATCCTCAATGGAAGTGACCTTGGAATATTAGTTAATTTGTTTGGTATAGAGCAAAGCCACTTTGGACTATCTGCTATGCTCATTGCAGGGAATCAATCCCCAGATTTTAGTCTTGCAAGTCCATAGACTTACCGCTGTCCCATTGGGGGATGTATTAATTAAAATCTGCTGCCTAGTGCTCTATTTATTGTGTGGAAAGTATATATATATATCTATAGATGGATGAATTATGTCATCACAATATCCCCTGTATTTTTTTTGGTTGGGAGGGGAATGTAAAAGCTAATGTGTGGTTAAATACATATAGCTGATAAAGTTAGTCAAAAACTATAGAAGTTATTTTTAAGCGAGCACATTCTTGAAGTTCTGTTATATGTGGTGTTATATTAAACCTGTTTGTAATTACTGGTGTTTAAAAGTTAAGGAATAAACTGTTTGTTGAGCAGTAATGAATTGTTCCTTAACTTTTGGACCACAGTGCATTGTATCTGTGGCTAGGAACAAAGAGGATATATAAGTAGAATATCAGGTACATCATCTAGAACAATGAGGATATATAGTTAGAATATCAGGTACATCATCTAGAACAAGGAGGATATATATAGTTAGAATATCAGCTGAATCATCAAGAACAAGGAGGATAGATAGTTAGAATATCAGGTACATCATCTAGAACAAGGAGGATATATAGGTAGAATATCAGGTACATCATCTAGAACAATGAGGATATATAGGTAGAATAAGAAAAAGAGCTTACAGTTTTATACAGTATTGAAACATTTATCTTCTAAATAAGACAGTGCAATAGATTATTGTATAATTAGTACTACTGGAAAATGTCACTTAAACACACATTTGATCATCTTTCTTCTTGGTTAATTTGTTAACCAATCATGTAATGTATCATAATTTGTTAAAAGAGAAACTAAACAAATCACATAATGCATCTTAATTCGTTATGAGAAACCAAACCAATCACATAATGCATCTTAATTCGTTAAGAGAAACCAAACCAATCACATAATGCATCTTACTTTGTTAAGAGAAACCAAACCAATCACATAATGCATCTTAATTTGTTAAGAAAAAATAAACCAATCATATAATACATCACATTTACACGCACAAATAATGGAGTCAAATCACATGTTGGTGTTGAAAAAAACATGAAGGATACACTGGTTGGAATCCTGAATATTTTCCAAATGAGAAGAGTCTTGAAAACTGGGAGAACTTGTACCCTGAAACTGTGATATACAAGAAAATGGATTACCATATTTTTTATTATTATCACAGAATGTTTTGTCATTGCACACATAAGTAAGGTTTTAAGTTTGATACATGTTTGATTTGCGAACGTATGTTAATTAAATCGAAACTAAAACTGATATTTTTACCAGATGTCTAACACAGACCTGTGAATTTAAACTTCATGAAAGTTGTTTGGGTTGTAATAACGGATTTTACATAATTCAGCTACGCAGATTTCCATATTAATACTCATTTTTTTTCTATTATGTAAGGATTTTTTTTTTTACAAATCTGGAAGAAAAAAAACATACTTAGATCAAATTATTATTTCGTTTACCACAATGAACATTTTTTATTATGATGTTTGTTAACAAAAATACAAATAAACTGAAGAAAAGGGAAGACCATTGATGTCAAACGAATATGCATCCTCATTCATCCCGATTTTTGTTTATGTGAAATTTACATCTTTTAGTCTCAAAACTTCGTGTTGTGGTCTTTCTTTTATGTATTGCGTTATGATGTTTTGTGAAAAATCTGTACGTGATGGAGAAAAATGGATATCATTTTCTGATTCAGCGAACATTTAAACATTTCAAAACAATAAAACCATCGCAGGCCTGTGTAATGAACAAAAAGTTGCGAAAAGTGTATTTCATCTTTTTTAATTGCGAAAACAGTAGCTATAAATCTTACTACAGTTATATTTATTTTGTACTAAATGCGTTCGTTTTGTAGGTGGCGTTAAGTATATTTTGTCCACTTTTTAAAAGTATACACCAATCAAAAATAAGTCATTTATCTTTCTTAAATTCTCTGCTTATATATGGGACAATAATTAACCTGATCAGTGCTTGAAGTGGTGGAAAGGAGGAAGCACGATGGTTCGTGAAATATTTGAAACTGGGTACTATGTTTCTTGTTTTTCATGGGTATTCTTTATTTGTTATTATAAAAGTAACTAAAATATAAACATTAGGTTAGATTAGATAAGATAATGAAAAAAAAAATCTTCACGAGGTATACTTCCGAGCAACTCGTGCCTTACGTAATGCGATATGGTGACCTGAGTGTTCGGACTTGCAACGCTAGTAACAGGGTTTCGATACCCAGTGGTGAGCAGAGCACACATAGCCCATTATGTAGCTTTGTGCTTAATTACAAACAAACAAACAAAGCATTTTTGTACATTACTTCTTAAAACAAAATAACAATCACTATTAAAAGATATTAATGAGCAGTTACTCTTATTTCAACGAAATTTTACAGTTATCATTTTAACAGCTTACCGCTGCTTCTGACTTTGTCGAACAAAGACGAGCTTGAAGGAACTGAAGGAGTTAGCTTTGGGAGAGTGTGACGACAACTGTTTGATAAAGTTGGACTTCTAGGCGGAACAGTAACTTCGTCTTCGTCTTCAGATGAGTCTGATGAATCTTAAAGAAGAATACGAAAAATACACGACTTTGCTATTGTGTTAAAACGATACAAGCTAGATAAGTCTTGCAACAATGGGGAAAATAAGACATATTTATATAAAGAAAACACTTAGGATAAAAATAACAAGAACGGATAGTGTAAAGCAAGGTACTGACAAATCGAACACTTTTGGTTGGTATAACTTATTATTTCGGGAGTGAGTTAACATTTCAGTCCTTGGCTTATTGTGGTGACTTTCGGATTGCCCGATAGAGGAATGTCGCAATACTAAAATCCAAAATAAATTATATTATATAATACGAGGAAACACAGAGTAAACACGATGCATAGCTGGATGTTTAATGAATTTAAGGTTTTATGACTTTATGCTTTTGTTTAAGATAGACTGGTAAGTTTTTCAAAGATTGCAAAAAAAAAAGGAAAAACAATAACAATATTTACTTGAATTGATCATGGGAATGAGAGGCTTAACGTTTGCTTGACCGAGATAGAACGTATATCTCAATGTATAAAATGAAAATATACATTTTAAAACTCAATAAAAGAGTTTAAAGTTTCGAAGTACTTTTAAAACAGTAATGTTCCTTCAAAATTATCAGTTTTATTAGTAACGAATATAACACAACACAGTGAATATATATATTAAGAGCACTAAAGCAGTATTTACACTGTCTAGAACAACGTTACATGTACAACTATTTTGTTAAGAAAGTGAAATTTTAAACTTGTGATAAAAGGTCAAGTAAACCCTCGAGTTCAGGAATGACCGTACCTAATTTGGAACTACTGACCCGGTGTGGGACAGCCAGCTAGCAGCATCCGCTGCCACAGAGGCTTTGTGCGGCTCTTAGAACTGAATAAAAGGATTAACTGTCATTTTTATAACGCGTCCACAGCTGAAAGTGGGGATCGTGTTTAACGGTATCACGTCCCAAACCCTGAATCCTTTGATCCGCAGACTGTTACACTAACCACTACGACCACGCCATTTCTTTGATGAGAAAAAGTTAGTGGAAAAATGTCAAGAGTATTTTTTTACCTGTTTCCCATCCTAGCATATCTCTGGCATGTTGGAGTTCGCTCATCAGCTCTTGATTCTGAAGAAACACGGGTTTAGAGTTTGTTGTGAAATTGGATGAGGGTTCCTGGTCATCTGTGAAGATTTCGTCATTATGAGGTTCCGTTAGGTTTTGGTTTCTCGTAGAACACATCGTCATAGTATTCTGCACAGAGCACGGAAATAAGGCTTATTAATAACTCAATTAGTGATATTCTGCACCAGTTATAAAACACATTATAGCAATACGTATTTTGACGTTATTTTTAACATTTTGAACACGTATCGGTATAACAACATACAAAAAGTACAATGAAATACGTCTATATAGCTACTTATTGCTTTTAACTCTAGAACTATGGATAAAATCCACATCAAGTTTTTAAACAAACTTTTGACTGTGAGTCTATTTGTTTATTGGTCATAAAATCCTTACTAACATACAAGCCACACAAAAATTTTAAACAAAAAAAAAACATCGTCAGTTTTGCAGTTAATCCTACTAACAGCTGCTCTGTTTCTCTAAGCGTGTGTTACATGTGTGTGATTTTTACACAGTTTCTTCGGTCACTTCTTTACATTGAGAGATGCGACAGGCAAAATCAGAATCTACTCATTATGATGCTTTGTGTGGGCTCCTACTAATAGAAAACGTGATCAGTTTTTCATGATTAAAAATATTATGTCTCAAAAAATTCACAAAGTTTATCATCAACGCCTGCTTACAAAGAAATCTCTCAACTCGTAACATCTCTCACAAGGTTTGTTAACAGTTGTTAATTAAGAACAAAAAAATTCAATGGCGATATCCCGCCTATCACACTGATGTGCAAAAAAGTTAAGGAACGAACTGCTTGTTGAGCATTAACGATTTATACTTTAACTATTGGATAACAATGTGTTTCATGTACAAAATAATATTTATGTGGAATCTAATTACGGATCATTCAGACAGAGAAACTTGTATGTAAGAACAAAAGTCCACGAAACATATGAACGCAATAGTTTGAAA